TGGTGTTGGTGGTGGTGATGTGGTTGTGTGTGTATATATAGTTATTTATATTAATATATATATCCGGTATGCATTCATAGTTTGGTATATTTATATATATATATCATCTATGTTTGTCGTAGGTGTGACGTATGATGGTGTTGGGCAAATGATAACATTGGTCTGGATGGAAGGACAATAAGGATTTATTTAAACGTTATCATTTAATGCTGTCGCACATACACAAGAGTATGGGTTGGCTGACAGTTATATGGTATTCCGCTGTATATATAAATATATATATGTAATTTGTATTTTATAACTATGTTAGATTTAGTATCTAAATGTATATATTAATACTATTATATTATATATCATAATAGTAAAGTGTGTGTGTTGTATGTATATATAGGAATCGTAGTAGGGTAGAATATATGAGTGGTATTGGTAATGTATAGTGTATTATATATTTGTATAGTAGTATAATTATTATACCCGTTATTATATAATGTGTGTCATATAGTAGTCTAGGTATATTATATATATATCTATAGTATATAGTTATTATTTATATATATATATTATATAATAAGGTATATAACTATATGTATATATATATATATATATTAGTAAGTTGTACACACAGTGCACCATCAACAACAGTATGAACACAACCGGATTGCATCACGACGACACACAAACAACCACACACATCCACAAGCACATATAATAGTAATATATATTATAGTATATATATAGTTATATATATATGTATAATATATATATAAATATATATGTATATATTTCAATACTAACATATATATATATATTATTATATAGGTATATAGTTAGTATTGTATATAGGGTAAATTAATATATAGTTATGCCATCATATATTATTAAACATATAGTAGCATATCATCTGAACTAAATGATATATATAGTATTAAAAGATATATATTATAGATTATAGTTATATAGGGCGGATTGTCTTTATGATTTCTGAGGAGGGAGAGGGGGGAGAGAGAGCGAGTAGAGAGATGAGAGATAGATAGAAAGAATAATGAGGGAACGATTAGCATGTCATATACTAGATACATACATATACAGGTGCATAGCAATATACCGTTTATTCTATTCATCTATGTATTTTATATTATCTATTTTATCTATCCATGCTATCTATCTTAATTATTATTATCTATATCTACTTATCTTATTCTATTATCATATCTATCTATTCTATTGATAATTCTTTTTTAGTATATATATAATACGTAAATTATATAGTACTTTTAGTATAAAAGAAACAGGGACAATAGTATGAAATGTGTACGTTGTGAATTAACGCACGAGTTATCTCTTCAAGTAGAATAATTTATTGACTATGATCAGAGATCGTAGAAGAGGTTTCAACGTTACTTTTATTCTTCCAATTCTATGTGCTGTTGCGATTTTCAGTATTTTAAGCTCGTTTTATGGTTTACGCGTGTGTTTAGGAGTGCTGTGTTCATCAATGAATAGTGTATGTTAGATATAATTATTTATAGTTATATATATATATAGTGATAATTATTATATTATATTTATATAATAATTTATGTGTGTGGGTGTGGTGGTGTGTGTGGGCGTGTGTGTGGTGTGGTGTTGTGTTGTGTGTTGTGGTGTGTTGTGTGTTGTGTGTGTGTGGTTGTGTGTGTTTTGTGTGTGTGTGTGTGTGTGTGTACTGTATTATATTGGTTATATAATATAGTTATTTAATATACCTGTAATAGTAAGTTATTGTTATATATATTAGGTATTTATTATTATATTGTATAATATATAAACACACACATTAAATATATATATATATTCATATATTTATAATATTATATATAGTATAACTTATAGTATGAGTATATATTAATAGCATTTATTATATTAAGTATATCTTAATATACTAGAGTATTTAATATATATATATATAATAGTA